ATTTAAGAAACAGTTGATTCGCGTTTGTTTTTGTTTTTGTCACTTAAATGCAAACTTTTGGAAATTGAATTTTTGTTTCACAAATTTGACTTTAAGGATATAAAGATTGAAAATACATTCACTACAAGCACCAAGTAAATGCAGGGCATGAATCACGTAACTTTAAAACGATAGTCGTTCAAACGATACTGACAAAACGACCTCGTAAAAAGACTGATTTATGCATTTGTGTTGCTGTTACGTGTTACTATTACTGTTACGTGAAGCAAAACTGGAATCGAGTTGACGATATCGTGCAAAAGATCAAACAATTTTTGATTTTTATGAAGCAACACAATCTCAACACGATATCGTTCAGACGATTGTCGTCATACGCGATTCATGCCCAGGCAACATGTAAACACACACGTCACACGGTCAGTAATTATCACTATACATATTTGGATCGCGATCCATATTGATGGATTGATGGATCGCGAACGAATGCTACATGCTCAATACTTATCGCGTTAGTATTTGCATAGTTTTTGTACTGAACGCTTATTATGATGCAAGAAAATATTTTTTATTTTGTATGAATAATTTGCAGATATTATTATCAGAGATTATTGCGATCCGCGACCCAGATTTCAAAATTTTTAGGGCTCTGTCACACGGTCAGTAATTATCACGATTGATGGATCGCGCAAGAAAATATTTTTATTTTGTACGTATAATTTACAGATTATGCATTCAACAATTATTTTAAAATTTCCAATGTTAATTAAAATTGTTTTGAAAGATTTTAAGCCCCGAGAGCGAAGGCAGAGCCGATGTTCGCATTATGAGAGTAAAAGATGTACTGACGAAATGTATGGATCACGTTTTGAAAGTGCTATACGTTCAATATTTATTGACGGTATTGCGATCCGCGATCCAGATTAATTTTTAGAAAATTTGCGATATGGATCACGATCCATCAATACTGCATGCTACACCGTCAATAAATATCGCGATACTTGGACCACGTCAACAAATACTGACCGTGTGACAGTGCCCTAAGAAAAATAAATTAATGGGCTGTTTTTGCTTACGCGTAAAAGCACATTTAGCGCATTTAGCTCTAAATGCTACTCTAAATGTACATTTATCCATACAAAATTCGTCACCTAAATGCAACTAAATGCAACTCCATTTTTGCATTTAGAATCTAAATGCTAAAAGCAACCCTGTGATCTTCCAAAATTTCACGATTCGAACATGGTTTAATGAGAAGTGGCAACATTGCTTTTTCGAGTATACAGTCGCTAGCTGCGTTTCAGTGATCGCCG